ATAGTCAAGTCACTGGTGGTCTGTGTCTACACATCACTCGCACCCAACCCTCAGCGCAGCCAACAGTTGGACACCGACTGGTCATGGATTCATCCATTGGACCAATAGTCAAGTCACTGGTGGTCTGCACTCTTTTAACGGTCGCCTCTAATGTGGTGTCGATCTCATGTCTCGCAGGCTTTGCGTCCGAAACCAAACCAAACAAACAGTTGTCGAGTGATTGAGTAGAGAAGAGACGCCGATTCGCAACACATCTCTGTTCAGCCATTGATCTCACAATTAATTAATAAAGTTTGCAATTATAATGGGTATGAAATTTATTAGTTATTTATTTTAATTACATTTATGTTTAAATCTAATTCACAGATAAATCTATTTATAATAGTGAAAATTATTGACTAAAATACAAATGAATTAAATCTTACAAATGAAGCAAAGAATGAAAACTTATTACAAAAACAAAACCAAATTCACAATTCATTTATCCATTGATGAGATATTGTGTCTCCAATACAACTGATCCTTCACTTCATCGAAGTATTCCTCTTCACTCTTACTCTTCGCATAACTCTTGGGTTTTTAGCGCTTAAGTAACGGTCTGTACTGTAGTCTTCGCCTCCTTAGCCGCCGGCTCCCTACCCAACTGCTGACGACACCAGCACTAGAAGCGGCGCTTATGACTAGGGATTTCGGCACTCGCCGCCTGCAGTGGCCACTGATGGGACTCTTGGGCGCCATTTGTGCCGCTGTTTTGAGTTTTTCGCTCATTTTCTTCAACTCCTGATCTCTGAGGAACTGTTGCTGAAGAAGTCGTTCCCTGTCTTTGCCGGACAACTGACTGTTGCCGCGGATGCGCTTCAATTGGCCGCCCGTCCAGTTCATGGCCACCAATGATGGGATCTGTTGACAAGCAATTGATTGGATGGACACAAGAGTTCAATGATTTGATCCGATATTTAATGATTCAAATCAAACGCAAAAAACTTTTAAATCAAATGATGTAATCATTAGTCGTAAAAACGTCCGTAAAATGAGTCAAAACGGGCGCTAAATGTGAACTCAAACTAATAGTAGACGTAATTTATGTGTCAATGCATTGAATGCTATGAAAAGCGAAAACAATATTTTGTTTACAATTTTTTTGTCCACTTTTTTGTGTCAATCAAAGAGTTTTTTCCCGATTGAAAGTCACGTGTGTTTTGGCCGCCAATTGTGGCCGCAATAGACGCGTCCGTCGGGTGTGAGTGAGTGAGTGGTCGCACCCGAAGAGGTGACACATCGGGTCGTGTGGACCAACTCGAGTGATGGCCGGCCACTCATCGCAAGCGTCAGATGAGCGGTCATTCCTCATCGGTCTGTGTCTGGCGTTGAGCTCTTGTGTCTTCATTGGCGTCAGTTTTATCATCAAAAAGTTGGGACTCATTCGGCTGTCGAGTCGTGGCCTCCGGGCGGCCAGCGGTGGCTTCGGGTACCTCAAGGACTGGGTTTGGTGGACAGGACTCCTCTTCAGTGAGTACACCATCGCTGCTGTCATCGCATGTGTTGTATCCATAGATATCTAACCACATTTACCACGTGTTTGTTTGCGACCATTAGTGGGAACGGGAGAGTTGGCCAACTTTGCCGCCTATGCCTTCGCGCCGGCGTCGATGGTCACACCGTTGGGAGCCCTGAGTGTCCTCATATCGGCGGTGTTGGCCAACAGGTATCTCAACGAAAGCCTGAATCTCTTGGGCAAAATTGGATGCGTTTTGTGTCTCTTGGGCTCAACAGTGATTGTGATTCACGCGCCCAAAGAGCGACAGATTGACACTTTGGATCAGATGGCGGTGATGTTAACGCAACCCGTATTTATAGTATACCTGCTGTTTGTGATGTTCACCACATTTCTGTTGATCGCGTTTTATGCGCCCAAATATGGCTCCACTAATGTGTTGGTCTATATAATGATCTGTTCGCTCATCGGTTCCCTTTCGGTGATGTCAGTGAAAGGTCTGGGAATAGCCATCAAACAGACGGCCACCGAAGCCAACCAATTGACACATCCGTTGTTTTGGACATTTCTGGTGTCGGTTGTGATCACTGTTTCCATACAAATGAATTATCTCAACAAATCGCTGGACATCTTCGACACGTCTGTCGTGACTCCTATTTATTACGTATTCTTCACCACATTTGTGATCATCGCTTCCGCAATACTACTCAAAGAGTGGCACTCAATGACAATCGACGACAGCATCGGCAGTGTCTGCGGCTTTCTTGTCGTTATAATCGCCATATTCTTGTTGAACGCATTCAAAGACCTCAACATATCGTTGAGTAGTTTGAGATCCAATTGTATGTCCAACAGAAATGGTCATCATTTGAATGGTAGCCAATCAGCCGACAGTCAGGAGTTGTTGACACCAATGGATGTCCGCNGCATACGTTGTGAATCTAATCGACATGTTATTACTCAGCGATCCGTTACTCTCTTTACACCAAAACCATAATATTTTAGTCTTCTTATTACGAGTGCCAAAATCGAGAACACAGTTCCGGTTGTCTTCGCTATCGACCCGAATATTGCGGACTCTGATTGAGTCGATTTCGTTTCTAGCCTTAGATCGGAATTGAAGTTTAGGTGTTATAAGTTTGAGTATAAAAAAGTCAAACAACATCGAGCTTTCAAACTCAAAGTGCCATTCGTGCGGTTTGTCCGCATTCCTGACCATCACTGCTGTTCCCCTTTCATCGAAATAACAGGAATCGTATTCACCGCCCGTGAAATTACTGGTATTCTTGTTGACAATTGTTATGTTTTTACGCAAATTGACTACTTTTACATTAGTTACTTGATTGGTGGTGTGATAACCACATGTGGATCGCGAGCCCTTCCACTCGCCGGCCACACACTCCTTGGTCTGTGTCTTGACGTATGTTTTTTCCTCCGGACAACTGTATCGCACGACATCTCCGTCTTCGTAGACACTCTTCAATGGCTCTAATTTGGTGTCGTGTGGGAGACCCGGGTGTCCACACCTACTGCCCACGTAATAACTTTCACATGTAGTGCACGTATACAACACTAATATCAAATTTAACCAAACATGAACCTTATTGCTAAGAATGTGCATGCTTTATTTACTAACAGTATTTACTAAATGTATTGTTTTAAATATTTTGTAAAATATAAAAACTGTATCGGAAGCACACATTGCCGTTGTTTTACAAGTTTTTTATTGTATAAATTGAATTGATATTAATTTTTTAAAACAATTCTTTGATGCAATTCACAGAATCAATACTTTAATCACTATTTTTTAAAACAACTCTTCGATTCAATTCCCAGTATTAATACTTTAATTGATATTTTTTATTGCAAAATCGGATATAAGTTTCCTCTATATTAGAGTTTATAATGTTTTAGAAATTTTACCATGATTATTTTGCCAGAGTATGATCGCAGCATGGTCTTCACAAACTAAACTGATTTCAAGGTGATTTAAAATGCTTGTATTCAATACACTAACCATACAATATGCAAATCTTAAACATAAATAATTGCTATAAAATACTGTATTTTTATATTGTAGTAAAAAATAAAAATAATTATTACTTTTTAAAAATTGTTATTTTCCTAAACAATGAGAAGAAAATATATTTTAAAATATTTTTCAAAAGTGTTTCAATCGTTGGACACTTTAGTCAATCGTTATGCCTTTGGGACTCTTTGGAAGCGCAGCCAACAGTTGGACACCGACTGGTCATGGATTCATCCATTGGACCAATAGTCAAGTCACTGGTGGTCTGTGTCTACACATCACTCGCACCCAACCCTCAGCGCAGCCAACAGTTGGACACCGACTGGTCATGGATTCATCCATTGGACCAATAGTCAAGTCACTGGTGGTCTGTGTCTACACATCACTCGCACCCAACCCTCAGCGCAGCCAACAGTTGGACACCGACTGGTCATGGATTCATCCATTGGACCAATAGTCAAGTCACTGGTGGTCTGTGTCTACACATCACTCGCACCCAACCCTCAGCGCAGCCAACAGTTGGACACCGACTGGTCATGGATTCATCCATTGGACCAATAGTCAAGTCACTGGTGGTCTGTGTCTACACATCACTCGCACCCAACCCTCAGCGCAGCCAACAGTTGGACACCGACTGGTCATGGATTCATCCATTGGACCAATAGTCAAGTCACTGCTGGTCTGTGTCTACACATCACTCGCACCCAACCCTCACCTCATTGTTAATTAAAAAAATTTCAAATAAAAATTAAATTATAGTTTAAATAAACAAATTGAATGACTTCTAGAGAAATGTCTGCAAATGAATCTGATTTGAGGCGATGGTTGAGAGGAAGGGGTTGGGATCGCAACCCTCCCGTCAGACGCGCACCCATTCGGCCGCAGGAAATGCAGGAACTAGTCGTTGGGTTTAGGGGTCAGGACTTTGCACCAGTAGGACGGGGAGACTCGACACCTATGCCGGCCAATCAGTCGGCGAGCGCTGGTATTTCCTCGTCGGGTGTTTTCATAGACCAACAGTTGCCGTCGCCAGAGATTATGAGATCATTAGTGGTTAATCCGGTCGATGAGACTATTGATGGCGTGAGCTTACAATCATACCCTCCCGGAGCTTATAACTCGTCGCCCGAGACATATCAGCCCCGAGTGATCACCGCTGAAGAGACAGCGGCCAGCGCTCGGCCTAAAGTGAGACCAACGGCACCGGGCATTGGAGCGGAGGTGTCGGAGCGGTCGCGCGACGCAGTGAGCGGTAGTGTCACACCTCCCCGTAGAGTCAAACGTCGAGCCCCTCCACCCCCGGTGCCAATACCGGCCACTGAGCCTCAATCTCTTCGCCAAGTTTCTCAAACCACGTCAACTATAGGTTTGGCTGCCATTGGTTCTGACCCATGGGTCGCACCGTTGACGCCACAGCCATACCAACCGCGAGTAATAAGCGCTGAAGAGACGGCGGCCAGCGCTCGGCCTAAAGTCAAACCCCGTGTCCAACCGGTTGGCCGCGGGAGTGTTCAGCCAATCACTACACCGCCCATAGCCTGGCACCCGGCAGAGGGCGCCACCTCTCAAGAGTGGGGTCGGGCGGCGTCGCGGGAGTACCGGCAACGGGTCAATAGAGTGCTGTCCAGTAACTCAGGTTTAGCGGAGCGAAGGGAACACTTGCTAAGCGAAAACTTCGAGCGCCCGGACGGGTCGGACCGTTATCTACCGAGAAGGGCGGTCACACCCGCGGCACCGCATACAACACGAATACCCCAAAACACGGGCTCCTATACGAGATACAGGCGCCCAATTGTGGAGATGGGAAGTCGGCCACAAAGTACTAACGACTGGGAGCCGATTGGCCGACAGCGCTACGGGCAGACGTCTCGACAATTGTCCCGCGCGTCGAGTCTACCCAACTTGCATACTATGAGCGCTGATGCGGGCCAACCGGTTGCCGGCGCCGCTCCGCTTACTAGAGGTCAAATATCGGACGCCTTTCACGAGAGATACCGCCGATTGGAACCAAATGAACAGAAATTGTATTCCGATTATCGTTCGGCTAATGTATTGTCCGAAGCGGACAGTCATCTGAGCGCCAGAATAGTGGGTCCGCCGACGCTCTCCAATATAATGGCGGCCGACGAGAGACGGCTCCGGGAGATGAGAGCCGAACGCGAAGGTATGTACACTCGAGAAGAGCGCAAACGAGTGGTTAAACAAAGACTTCCCGACGATATGCAGATCGTTGTTGAGGACAGCGATGAAGACAGACATTCCTCCGCAGATGAAGACGACGGCGAAGAGTATTAACAC